GAAAGAGCTACAAAGAAGCAGCCTCGTTGCCACCTACAGTTAGCAATTTGAATTTCCCGCTTTTCCCCCCTGCCTTTATCTTGACTTCAGCAAAGCTTTTGGCAAAGTGGCCCATGATATTCTGATTAGCAAGCTAACTAGGGGTGGGCTAAATAGAACAACTGTCAGGTGGATACATAGTTTGCTACAGAATCGTACTCAGAGGGGTGATGATTAATGGCTCCTTTTCAAACTGGGTGGAAGTATGAAGTGGGGTACCCCAGAATTCAGTCTTTGCCCCTGTGCTCTTAAACATTTTTGTTAATGACCTGGATCAGGAAGTTCAGGGAATGCTAATCAAATTTGTGGATGACACAAAATTGGGGTGGAATAGCTAATATCCTGGAAGACAGAAGCAAAATTCAAAACAATCTAGATAGGTTTGAGCACTGGGCTGAAAGCGACAAAATGAAATTCAACAGGGATAAGTGCAAAGAACTACACCTAGAAAATGGAAACCAAACACACAGTTACAAGATGGGAAACACCTGTCCCAGCAATATTACAAGCAAGAAGGGCCATGCAATCACTGTAGATCACAAACTGAATATGACCCAATAATGTGATGTGGCTACAAAAAAGGTAAATGCTATTTTAGGCTGCATTAACAGAAGTATAGTCTCAAAATCCATTGAGGTACTAGTTCCCCTCTACTCAGCATTCGTTAGGCCTCATCTCAAGTTCTGTGTCCAGTTCTGGACATGGTATTTCAAGAAGGATGCTGACAAATTAGAACAAGTTCAGAAGAGGGCAACAAGGATGATCAGGGGGCTGGAAACCAAGCCCTGTGAGAAAAGACTGAAAGAACTGGCCATGTTTAACCTTGATACAATAGCATTGTTCAAATACTTGAAAGGCTGTCATACAGTGTGGCAGGATCTCTTCTCCATAATCCCAGAGTGCAGGACACACAACAATGGGCTCAAGTTACAGGATTTGGTTAAATAGTGGGAAAAGCATCCTAACTATTAGAGCAGTATAGTAATGGGATCAATTACCTCAAAATATGGTGAGTGCTCCAACACTGGAGGTATTCAAGAGAAATTTAGACAGCCATCTGTCAGATCTGTTTGATCTGGATTCCTGCATTGAGCAGGGGGTTAAACTCGATGGCTGTATAGGCTCCTTTCAACTTCATTAGTCTATGATTCTATGAGGATTTTGGGAACTATAATCCAAGAAACTGATTTTTTTTAAAAAAAATAGCTAGGCCAACCTTATTGTAGATATTATGTTGTGGTTTTGCTTTAAATCTGGTATCTTTTATGTTACATTTTTATCTGCTTTTAACCATGCCTTAAAATACAACAACATGAAATGTCAGTAATTAGAGGAGGGCTTGAGTAAATAGCAGAACTTGGTAACAGGTAAAACACCAGATAAGGAGAAAGTGTTTGGAACAGACAGTAAAGGAATAATAATATCAATTCTGCATCATTTGCTATTTGCAAGAACTGAGCCCAGAAATACAGAGATTTCCAAATTCAGTAAATATCAATAGCTGTAAAACAACAACACAATTTACAATTTGAATAACCATTTTTACTATTACTGTACTATGGTTAAAACAATTTAACCAAACTAGACACTAAAGACTTGAGTGTCCCCATTACTAGACAAATACTTACCAACCACAGATAAATCAACACGTGATTTAGATACTAATACATCTTTTATGATGATGCATTCATATGTACGTTCATCTGAAACCTTCACTGAAAAAATGGAAAGTGTAAGATTCTGCTCATTTATCTTTGTCCTGTTCTTGTAACGAACATCTATATGGTCGTCTTCTTCGTCTTTTACATAAAAGTTTACAACCAGAGGTGTAGGCTTTTCAGGGGTTTGCCAATAAATGTTGTAATTCGTTATGGATTCCCCTGGAGGTATCCTGTAGTTGCAGGGAAGTTTGGCTTCATCCCCTAGTTTGGCAATCACTTTTTGGACTTTGTCTGAAGAGGAAAACAATAATACATATTTTATTTATTTAAAATATTTTTGCTCTGCCTTTCTCCTTAAAAAGGATTCAAGGTAGCTTACATCTTTAAAAACACAACATTAAAAGCTAAAAACAGTAAATTATTTAAATATTAAGAAGAATTAAATGAACATCATATTTAAAACATTAGGTATTACTAAAACAGATTTTAAAACAACAAAAATAAAAATGATCAATTTCAAAACCTCTCTTACACAGCCAGTCACTAAGGAAAAGCCTGCCTGAAGAGAAAGGTCTTGCCTTGTTTTAAAATAATACTTTTGCAGAACCAGGGGAAGATCCAGGTAACGTATACCATCCTTCACTATGTTATAGGATTCAAAGAAATCTAGACTGTTTAAAGCAGGGGTCCCCAACCCCTGGTCTGTGGTCCATGGCCATGGCAGGACCAGGCTGCAGAGACAGATCTCCTGCCCCCCCACATGCACTCCCCCTCATGTACCCCTCATGCACCCCACCTGCACACACGGGTGCTGCACTCCTCCGCAAGCATGCCCTGCCCCTCCGTGCATGCACACGAGCGCACCCTGACATTCCGCGAGCACTCCCCTCCACACATGCACACCCCACTCACCCATGAGCGTGGGGGGTGCCCCTCCGCACACATACCCCACCCCACCCCCCAACCGATCCACGGTTCAGAAAAGGTTGGGGACCACTGGTTTAAAGATAACCATATGAGGGTATTGTTGGAATATATACCGTATGTTTTGCACCATAAGACACACTTTTTTCCCACAAAACAGGGGGGTGGAAAGTCTGTGCGTCTTATGGAGCAAAGAAAACATATTATATTTTCCTGTTTTCTTCTCCTAAAAAATTGGTGCGTCTTATGGAAAGGTGCGTCTTATGGAGCAAAAAATACGGGTAATTGTGCAACCCAGCATGTATATATGTATACAGTATATGTGTACATATGAGAATGAAAGAGATGTATTTGCATAAGAGAATACATGTGACCAGTCAGATTCTGTTTAGTGTCAGCAAGTAGTTGCTCAGAGGTTTAACTGTCAGATATAAGAAAAAGTGATAGTTAATGTGAGGCTTGTCAGTTAGTATGTCTGTTGATATGTAAGTTTTCAGTTATGACTGTCTGCTGCAAGGCGTTTACTGTTACTATGTTAGTAAAAGAAGATGTTATGAAATTGTTATGAGTCTGACAAACAAACCAAATCCTTACCAAGTTAAATGTGCAATTACTGTTTGTTTGTCCTTCAACATATTTATAAGTAAAGGCTCTTAAAACTTACTATGGCTGAATGATAATTCTTTTTACCTGCTTGCATATATATAAACACACACGTGTGTGTGTGTGTATATGTATGTTTATATATATACAAGCAGGTAAAAAGAATAATCATTCAGCCATTGTGTCTGTGTCTGTGTGTATCAAGGGAGAATATTATTTATGATCTGTGTGTTTTTTATACTCATGCTTGATCTGCTGTGTGTGTACTCCCAAAAATTTCAACATGTATACCATCGCTGTAGCTTTTTAGTGGTAGCACAGTGCTGAATATTTTCCCATAAAATTCTCTGGGATACAAGTAGGGCTTTTGTTTGTGTATATTCTTCTTTCACTCCTGCTTCTATTCCAGTGTTTTAGATTTTTATTTTCTCTTACTGTGTGGCCTCAAAGATTTAATGGGGGCTATTACCATGGATGACCCTGATATTGGGAAAGAGTGAAGGCAAGAGGAGAAGGGAACGACAGTGGACAAGATGGTTGGACAGTGTCACCGAAGCGACCAACATGAATTTGACCCAACACCGGCAGTGGAAGACAGGAGGGCCTGGCATGCTCTGGCCCATGGGGTCACAAAGAGTCGGACACGACTTAACTAAACAACAACATTATCATGGAATAGTGCTATGGGATCAATCAGTCGGACTTTCCTGTGTAAGGTCCTAAAAATGGGCACATAGTACGTATTAATTGTCAATCCTTGTCAAAAGCAAGGATGATGTTGCTTTTATCAAACTGCTTCCATCCTGAAGGAGAGAGGAAGAGAGTTAACATCTGCATCCCATCAACAAGAGTGTGAAGGAAAAGGGGGGGGTGCAAACACATTGCCCTCTATTTTCTGAGATGCTGAGGGCAAAAGCTAAAAAAGGAAGTGCAGTTTTGCAAAACACCCCACCCTGCCCCAAAACATCAGCTTGGCCTTCCTTGGATTACAAAACTCTTACTGGGAGGAGAGGGGAGATCAGTTCTCTCAATCCATCTCTATTGTGAGTAAATGACTATGAATGACTTTAAAATGAATAACGACCTAAAGCAGCTGTTCTCCACCTTTTTTTGGTGGGGTACGGGGCCTTTTAGGAGCTCTTCTCAGGTTCCAGAGCCCCCTGTCAAACACAAAAAGCCTTTGGCTGTGTGCAAACCAGCAGTGGTGTAGTGTGGGTGGCCAGCACCCCCCAGCAAGGCAAGTTTTGTGGGGTGTGGGTCAAGTGCCAGCTCTGTGATGCAATGCATGGGCAGGGTGGGGCAAGCAGGTAAAGGAGGGGGGCGGGGCTGGGCAGGGCAGGAGAAGCCCCCCAGGACAGGAGAAGCCCCCCAGGACAGGAGAAGCCCCCCAGGATGGAGCCATGAAGTAGTCATGGAGCTGCTCACTGGTGGTGGGCCTCGTGCCCCTGGCAGATTGGACTCGGACTGCCGGGAGGAAGAAGACAAGCACAAGGAGCAGCTGCAGGAGCACATTTGGGTGTGGCAGCCCACACACCCCTAAGAATTTTGCACCCACGGTGACTGCTCCTTTGGCCACCCCATGCTATGCCACTGCAAACAAGGATGCAACATGAACAGATGAATCTGTGGCCCTTTCAAATGTGCCAGGGTCTCCAATGAAAATGGCTAATCTAAAGCAGGCTTGTCGAACCTGCGGCCCAAGGGCCGCATGTGGCCCAGGTCAGCTCATAATGCGGCCCAGTGCAATTTTTTATTTTTAAAGAAATTCCAAAGTTTCAAGTTACACTGCCGGCACTTGCGGCAGGAATGTGGTCGGGGCATGTCACAACAGTAGAGGGGGAGAGAGGGAAGGAAGGAAGGAGCGGGAGGGGAGAGGGGGCTGTGTGACTGCATTGCACCATCCCTGTCAATACGTGGACCCCCTCCCGGCCCCATAGTGCAGCCAGAGTTGAAGCTGGCAGCCTCTGCTGTCTGAGATCGCAGCTGCCGGTAAGCGCTCTTAGAGCGGGGCTGCGGAGGATGACTAGGGCTGCCCCCCCCTTGCGGCCCAAAACAAATTTATGTGTGGCCCATACCAAATTTTCATCTTCTAATGTGGCCCAGGGAAGGGGAAAGGTTGGACACCCCTGATCTAAAGGATCTAAAAATCTACATTTCTGAAAAGAAAAACCATTGATACAAGCCACATCAATATTACTAATTCAATATAACGATATACTCAGATTTACCTACTTTTGTTTGGGCTTTACATGGTTACTTCACTATGCATGTTTCCTTCTCTCAGGTTGGAATTTTGTATTCTTTTTTTAAAAGTGCCTTAAAATGTTTCTATTGTACCTATACTTACTCCATGTACATTTAACATGAAATCATTTGATATAGTACATAAATAAAAGTGACACCTTGACAGAATCAGGATACATCTGTTGCTGCGTATGTACTGCAGGAATCAGAAACCTTTAGTCTGCAAAGTGTTTTTACCCATATCTTCCATATTTCCTTAGGACTGACCATACAGGATGGAATTGATAAGAGCTGTAGGTTGAGAACATGTAGAGGGATAACGTTTCTCTGTCCCAATGTGAAACATGCATGTGGATGTCATCGTGAAAATCTTTGACAGAAGTGGAGGACAGCAATATTTAACAACAGCAGCAATGTACCATGTCTTAAAAGAGACTTGAAGCTTTGTGAATAACTTTAACTTGAACTAAGCAAGAAGTAAATAACTACCAAGAGAGATTTACTTTATAAATATAACAAGTTTGTTCAGCAGTATTTGTCCACCAAGCAGCTAATAAAATGCTAGCAAAACACATACTATTGAAAAAACAATTTAAAACCCATAATTAAATACACAGCGGTGTGTGGTGCTTATCCATAGATACTCAAAATTACCAAAACATATACTGGTAAAAAACATTAATGCCATTGTACAAACGTTGGCTATCACATACTGATATTTGTATCAAGTTGATAACACATGTACCACTCCAAAGATGGCATGATTCAGAAACTGATTATACCAAGGTGGAATACCACACACTTATTGCACATAAATTAGTAACTTTCAGCTGTTGTTTATACCAAGGGTGGCTATCACATAGAGGTCAACTACAGCAAGTAGATGGCACTACGGGCTTCTAGGAAATTCCCGTTTGGTTGATAGACTTCCTAGATTGTAAATCCTCCTACTATACCGTTCATGGTGCTATGTGTTCTCGCCAATATGATATTGCCAACAGAATATATATGAGCTAAACTGGCCCCCAGTGTGGTGTATTGGATAGAATAATGGATTAGGGATCTGGAGAACAGCATTTGAATCTGCACTTGTCCATGGAATCTCACTGGGAGAGTGGAACTGGTAAAATGACTTCTTAAATATCTCACTTTCCTTGAAAGCCCTGTTAGGATCACTATAAGTTGACCTGGCGGCATTAAACACACATACAAACAGGCCCCCAATGTGCATAAAAGATTCTTAAACTAGGAATCTAAATTTCTGTTTGAAAACAACATACACAATCAGGTCCTAAAGTATTTTTTAGCATGTTACTCTGAAACACATATATTCTTTCACAATAGAATATTTTTGAACCAAGCCAACCAAAGGTCATCTGAACCACCAAGATAATTTCTGGAAATCTGTCTTTCTTAGAACTAATTGGGGTGAGGGGGCGGGGTTCTAGAAACTGAAGTCTGAAACCTTGACTTTTCCAAATGCTGCACTTCGTAACCATCTCTTCTATTTCCTTTCAGCT